CCTACAAAGCAAATTTCGCTTCTTTCCTGACCAGAACCCGCTACATCCTGAATCGCCGTGTCATTCTTTCACTCTCGGCTAACAGCCGGCAAGTAAACCCCTAAACCCTAAACCCCTAAACCCTAAACCCCTAAGCCCTAAACCCCTAAACCCTAAACCCCGAGCCGAGAACCTCGAAGCCCGAGTTCTTGCCGCCTTCTTGAGGGGTCTACGTTGACTGACACATCTCTTCACAGTCACCTATGGGTAGTTTTCTAAACTAGGGTCCCTTTTTAGGGTACGTTTTGTAAGGGTACTATATTGGGGACCTAAAACGGGAACCTCATTTTGAGAAGTACCGCTATGAATATCCGTTCCGATACTCTTCAGGGTTTAGGGGGTGTTAGGGTCCCAGAACCTCCGAGACCTTACAAACCCTAGTCAGTCAGGGATAAAGCATGGTTGGGCTCGTCAGACGACCGCGCGAAACACGATCTTAGTTCTGCAGTAGCCCCTCAATAATAATTCGGTGCAAATAAGAGGACCCGAAAGGAGAAAGGGCAAAAGGCTACTACTCAGGAACCTAGAGATACATCGTTGCAGTTCCCCTGAATGCATTCGGTTCACGGGGGAGTAACACGCCAGGCAAGACAACTGGCGGGGGGCGGGGGCTCTATAAACCCGAAGCCAAATGCCACACGATAGACTAAATCGCCAGGGCCAAAGCCGTAACTCTGTCCGAAACCAAACTCTAAAAGAGGTCCGTTTGCCCCAAAACCTCTTGAAAGCCCTGGAGTCCAAAGCCTAAACCCTAAATCCAAAACCCGTCTGAGGTGCATCTGGGGAGCGGGGGGAAGCACAAACGAACCGGATGGACTCTGAGGCTTTCTGTCGGGGCTTGCGTGCATGCAGTGCTCCGGTGGCGCATATCCTGAGGTGCTTAGGATTGATTTAGGGTTGTAAGGGTTTTAGGGTTTAGGGTTTAGGGGTTTAGGGTTTAGGGTATCAGGATCTCCGACTTTGGGGGTTTAAGCTTTAGCATCGGGGGTCTTTTGAGTCCTTACACGGGAGAGAGTGAGGGTTTGGGGGTTGACGGTCGCAGGGCCGAGTTTCTAGCATACTTGAAAGGCTAAGGCTCCGATGTTCAAGGACTTTCGGACACCTTGGACCCTTGGGGCCAGGTTTTGGCTGGGTGACATCCATGACCTGCTCAGAAGGGTTGCAAGGTTCGGGGTGTCGGGTTATCGCATTATACTGAATGATACTGTTTAGAGGCTTTTCAAGCACTAAAAAAAAGAACTTGCGCCGAGTTTCATTAAGGGCTTCTGTCTTAGAGGATGGAATTTGGATTTCGGGTAAGGCTTCGGCAGCTCCCATGTAACTCATCTCTTATGCTCTGACACGGCTAGCACGGCAGTTCTGAAAGGATTCGCTCGTAATTTCGGATGTCTGTTTTGAAATTTTGGATACAGAGATACGTCCCGTATGAATTGACTCTCAATGTCTGAAACTCTCATCTTATGCACGATGAACCCTGAGCCAACACCCGCATCAATGGCAATAAGCGGCCGACGAGGCTCTCTAGTTCAGGCTTCCTGTAGCTTCTAGTAAACTCAGAAGTTCTGAAGCCTCTGCCTGTAGCCGAAAAGACCTACCTCTTTAGGGTTCCTATATTATTGTTTCAGTATACAGCTCCTTAAAAATGTAGGTCTTTTGGGCCACATATGAAGCCCCAACACTCTAAACCCTAAATACCCCCCCGCCCCCTGAAACCAGAAGTCCCTAAACTCTTGGCCAAGTATCCTGGCGTGCCGATTGCTGTACGCGAAACTTGGTTGCCTAGGCTGTTCAGCTGCCCACTGGGAAAAACATATACATTTCCGCGATTCCTCGTAATATACAAGGAACCAGAAAAGCATACGTTTTGGATTACTTTTTATGCCTGGATCCAGCAACAAACATGGAAAAAGGATAAGCATAAACTACAAACCCTAGGATACCACTGAACATCCTGGTTGCTGAAGCTGGAGTTGGACATGCCCTTCCTTGGCAGCGCTGCGCAGCATTAGAAAAGGGTTTCTTTTGGGGTTTACAAGGGTTTTACAGGCTGCTATAAGGTGTTGTAGGGAATTGGTATAGGGGCCTTCTTAATGAGACTAGAGCTCCTCTAGGTGGTTCTGAAAACGGGGTCGACAGGGCTTCTATACTGATAACGTTTTTTGCTGGCTTGGATGAGGGTGTAGGTGAGGTGAGCAATTAGAACAGGATTTTGGTGCATATTCCTTTAATTGTGCTTGCGGAACCCTAATGAATTTTCATTGGTACTTTTATCACTGAATCTGGAGCGCCAAAGCAAAGAGTATGGACTCGAGCAGACCATACTGAACCAAAAGAAACAACGCCACAACGCCTTCTTTGTTGGGGCCTAGGTCTTTGAGGGCTCTTTGCTGTCAAAGTCACCATCGCCAAGCAGTAACAGTGGGATCCTTAACCCTTTACTTAGCTGGAATCCTGGCCCCACCCAAAACGTGTTCCAGCAATCCTAGTCAAACGGTGTGTCTGTATACAAGCAACATCTAACCCTAAACCCTAAACCGCTAAAGCCTAAGCACCTGAATCCTAAACCCTAATTAAACCCCTAAACCCCTAAATCCTAAGGTCCTAAACCTTAAACCCCTAAACCCTAAACCCCTAAACCCCTAAATCCCTAAACCATAAACCCCTACACCCTAAAACCAAAAAACCCCCTTGCGCCCTAGCATCTGGCAAAGGCCATCGGAGCGCAGCTTCGCGAGGCCGAAGTCGAAGATCTTCAGCGTCCCGGTCTCCTCCGGTGTAGGGAAGTTTAGGGTTTTAGGGTT